TTACAGCAAACATATGGATAAACGCATAATTAAGATAGTGAAGCGGCGTAATTCATTCCGCGTGCCGTCAGCTAAGCCGAAACAAGCGTCGCGGCGCGGGCGATGCGTCGGCGGTGGTACACGTCTTGATTTTCGGCCAAACGAGTATTGCGATTACGCATCCAATCGAATCAAAGTTCAAATGCCGAATCTATATTACGCGCTAATTAAATGCAAGATTGATTGGATGCGTATTTCGCAATACTCGTTCGACCGAGGATCGAAATATGTAGCGTCGGCATCGCCGCGCACCACTATTGCCGCCACTCTCGCCGACGCGTCGCCGCGCACCGCTGTTTCACTGACGCCGCCGCAGCGCGTACGGTGGCGCTATTGCACACGAAGTCGATCGCGCACACGAAGTGGATCGCGCGAAGAGACGAAACCGCTTCACTATTGTAGCGTTTCTTTTTTCATAATTTCAGAGCTCTATACGAGAGAGATCATCGTCGGAACGAGAGGCGTCGCGGCTAATATAGTTGGTAAGTGGGACTTTGTATTTATCTAACACGTAGCATCGCCGCACTATCGCCGTCGACCCGCGTCGCCGTGACGCTTGTTTCGCCTAAGCTGACCGCGTGCGAGACAAATTGCTCCGCTTTATTATCTTAATTACGCATTTATCCATAAGTATGGTGTACGTTAACATACAGCGAACATATGGATAAACGCATAATTAAGATAGTGAAGCGGCGTAATTCATTCCGCGTGCCGTCAGCTAAGCCGAAACAAGCGTCGCGGCGCGGGCGATGCGTCGGCGGTGGTACACGTCTTGATTTTCGACCGAACGAGTATTGCGATTACGCATTCGACCGAATCAGAGTTCGAATGCCGAATCTATATTACGCGCTAATTAGATGCAAGATTGATCGGATGCGTATTTTGCAACACTCGTTCGACCGAAGATCGAAATATGTAGCGTCGGCGTCACCGCGCGCCACTGTTGCACCGACGCCGCCGCAGCGCGTACGGTGGCGCTATTGCACACGAAGTCGATCGCGCGGAGAGACGAAACCGCTTCACTATTGTAGCATTTCTTTTTTTATAATTTCAGAGCTCTATATACGAGAGAGATCATCGTCGGAACAAGAGGCGTCGCGGCTAATATAATTGGTAAGTGGGACTTGTATTTGCATTTGTCTGACACGTAGCATCGCCGCATTATCGCCGCCGACCCGCGTCGCCGCTATGCTTATTTCGCGTAAGTTGACCGCGTACGGGACAAATTGCTCCGCTTCATTATCTTAATTACGTTAACGCATAAACGCTGCCGTCGTTGCTGCAGCGCGCATTTCGCGTAAAGTTAATCGCGCGCGAGACGAAGCACGCTTCTTCGCCATCTTAATTATATTAATGTTTTAATTGCAGAACGTGATGGATACAGAACGCAACGATTGCGGAACGAGTACTGTCACGAGTCATATAATTGGTAAGTGCGAAATTTATGTTGAATTTCGTACATTCTATTTTTTTGTTGTCGCAATATTATTAAGTTACGTGTGATTTATATCGAAGAGAACATACGAGGATAATAACCGTGTGATCGTCTTTTTAGTAATTTAATAACTATAATTATAATAAAATAAAAATTTTTCCAACAATTTCAAGAATCATACGCGAATATTTTTTATATAATATATGTTTTTTATATAGAGAACATTATTTATTGAAATTTGTACATTTGCGATGTTTTTAAAATACCAATAGCAAATTAAAAATGGCAAATAAAATTTAAGAATTAATTAAAAATTTTTTTCTGATTTAGCTTTAAAAGAAAAAATATTGAACATATAAATCATATTAACGTATAAATAATGATTATAAACAAATAATATTTTGTAGCCAGTTTTCTAAATTGACTTTAATAAAAATTTTATTTGTAATAATAGAAAAATATGCCATGTAATTGATAATTAATTAGATTATAAATTTATAATTCTTAAAAAATATTTAATTTAAAGATGAAAATGTTTGAATATTCGTAAGAATTATCTTTTAAAATGTTAAATT